TGCACCGGATCAATCAGACTCCACTAATGGCCAGGATGCGCGCGTACACCTCCTATGGTGCGCCGCGTCGCACCGGATCACTCCGGTCGTCTCCCCCACTGCCGGCGACCGGAAAACTCGCCGGAAGGTCGCCGGAAATTGCAGAAAATGCCCGGAAAAATCTAGAAAATTCTAGAAAAATCCCTAAAGTCTTATTTAATTATTTTTAGCCATTATTAATTTCATAGGACATTAAATAAATATATACCATCCTATATAATTAAAATTCCATTAATTTGAATAAAATAAAATTAATAATTTATTAACCTCTAAACCTTGGCTCTATGCATAAAACTAAACTAAACAATTAATTTATTAATTCAAAGGGGAAAAGTAGATAATAACTTGCCTTTTTGGATTTAAAATAAATCCGCCGGTCTGCGCGTAGTCAGGTAAAATTGCCTACACCGGTCCAAGCTTCTTTCTCTTTCTCTTTTCCTTTCACTCTTATAAAATAGCTCTCTAGAATTTATACTTTGCTTCTAACTCCCTTTATTTTTTTTTTTTCTAAGGCAAGCTAGTTAATTTATAGACAAAATATATAATATAAATATTACAAATATCTAATTTATAATAACTTCTCACCCATTTCTCATATTCCTACCTATATGGCTTTAATTCCAACCATAACCATTGATGCAATCCTATCCTAATCTCTAATTTCATCATGACTTTGGTTTAATACTATTATTATTATTATAAATATTATTATTATTATTACTAATATTATTATTAATAAACTTTTATTATTATTATTATTATATTCTTATTATTATTATTATTAAACTAATATAATTATTATTATTGTTATTACAAAATAATATATTATATCATCATAATACTTTATAACACAAATATAATACTCTAATTAACTAATATTGCTTAATTAAACATAATCAACAAATAAAAGTAATTAAACTAATACATGCACAATTAAATGAATACATTTACTATTTTAACATACACAATTAATTTACATGCACAATTAAATGAATTTAATAAAATAATGTAGTATGCACAAATAAATAAAATTAATTAACCTAACACAAAATTTATTTAAATACATTCTTTAAAATTACGGGGTATTACAGTTTGTCTCCCCCACAAACTCTTCAAGCATTGATCGTATTGTCTGCAATTCAACTGCAAACAATTCTATCTGTTACGTCAAGGCAACAACATCGTCAGATTGTGGAGCACCCACCAAGGCCTCCAAATAAGTCACACGATCTTTGAGAGCTTCTGTAGCATTACCACCGGCCATGATGAACCTAACTCTGGGCTCTAAAAACCAATTATCACAGGGGTAAATTCTGAACACGAATCTAGTGCCCTGTAATGGCACTAAGCCAAAAATATGAACAACTTTTCTTTGAATTTCTAGCTTAGCTCAGTCAATTCACACTTGCTGCCTAAAACACACAACAAGTAAAACACTCTCACACACAAGTATAGTTGCAAGAATGTAAAGACAATAACACGCATGAATTTACAGAAGCACAAGGCTTCCAACCTTTTACTATTATTCACAAAACAGTACAAGGAAAGGCCTCAACCTGCAGAAGCATATAAGAGTCTCTCACAACACAACTCTGTGTCTCACTCTCAATCTGCCCTCTCTACAGAACCTACATTTGCAATATATAGGCAAACTCTCAAAGCCGCCCACAACTGTCTACTAAAGTGGTGGATGACACTCCCATCCACCCACAACTAGCCACTAAAGTGGTGGATGACACCCCCATCCACCTAGGGTCATGTTGGCACCTACTAAGTGTGCCAACACTACATATGTAGTTGACAAGCCCAAGTCCAACAACTAGCTTGTTGGCACGCTTTGCTCATGCCACTTGTCCACAGGAAGTTACACATTATCTGCGACCTTCTATATATCAGCATAGTGGAAGAAAACCGACTCTAACCACCTGTGTATTGTCCCCTCAGATCTGTGCCACATGCATGGGAAATTACTCAGCACACCCCCACTCCCCATAATATATGCATATGAGTGGGAAGTTGAGAAGTTATTCAGCACAACCCCCCTACCCATAATATATGCACACTAGTGGAAAGTGTTAGTAACTTCCCCCAACCAATTGAGCTCACTTAGCCATCTTCTGTAACCATAAGTAACTTCCCCTGACCAACTGAACCCACTTAGCCATTTTCTGTAACCATAAGCCATGACTTTAATTTTATTGTCATCTTCATACAAAATAATTTATAGAATTTTATAAAAAAATAAAGAATCATCATTGTACAACCAACAGAGATCAATTTTCCTTACAAGTTATTGAAACTCCATTTTTCAATTGACGAAATTGACTCATCCCTGCTCCTGTGAAAAAAAATAGAAAAATCTCTCTCTATTCACATTGAACTATGTTCCATTTTGTCTTGTTATTCATTATTAAAATAAGAAAAATATTTAATACAGCTAAAAAGAAGCAAAAGGAACGTAGAAGTCCAAGACGCTCTTTGCAATGCCATGCGTGGGAAAGCTCAAGCTATTGAAATATTTTTCAGATAGGGAGAGGAAGCGCGCAAAAGGAGAGAAAAATCTTGAAATCAAGTAGTTTTAGAAACGTCTATTAAATGACTTTCGGTATTTATAAATACATGTAATGAAAATGTATCTTAGTAAAGAGGTGTGAATTTATGAGGTGTAATCATATAATTTTAATTGTATATGTGCTTCGACTTGCAACACCTCTATGATACTACTACTCTTTATAAATTTATTTAAAATACAAATAATAATAATAATAATAATAATAATTGAATGGGTATTTTATTTGGACACAACTCTTACATCCATGCATTTCATATTCAAGCAAAAGAGGCAAGTCGGGACTATGCTCACAACAATTCAACTTTTCAATGCCATTACAACAAACATCTTTCCTAATTCATGAAATTTTCAAACTAGAAATTCAATCAAGAATCGAACATGTCACTTTCAAATTGAGATTTCAAAATTATTTTTCAAAGACTTGAAAGTTTTCCTTCTAAAATTCAATTCATCCCTTAACTTTTGAATGGGTGTTTTTTCTTCTCAAAAAGGTGTTAGTAGTTAAAAAAACACCTTTTCAAGAATTTAAAGAAGTGTTAATGTTTGATTCTAACTCTAATTCTTAATTAAAATATGGATATATCATCGCAGAAAATAATACACAAAAAATCAAATGACTCCTATATATAATAACTTTAACTCTGTCATATTTATGAAAGTCCACACCCACACAATACTATTGGCAGTGTAAGAAATTCTTTCATGTAATAATTACAGTATATTGAATAAAAGTTATATGTAAAAGGAACTCTAAAATATTTCAATAATAATTTGATATAAAAGTAAATATAAATAAATATAAAAAATACAGAGACACATAAAAAGTTTGTAGAGGAAAGAAGAATTGGAACCTAAACATATAATTTATTTAAGAAGTGTAGTGCACTTATAATGTTGGCCTAAAAATAAATAAAAAAATAAAAAAAAGGTTTTTGCAGAGAAGAATATAACATGAAAGAGTTTTTTTTTTTTTTTTTTTTTTTTCCTGAGATCATATGACTCGTATATATATATAAGCGGTAAACAACCCTTCACAATAGGCATCTCTTTTAAATATAAAAGTAGAAAGGCATCTTAACTGTTGATGCCTTATAGAAATTATGTTGAAGGAAGTTAGAATTTTTTTCACAAGATATATAATTAAAATTGATTTTTTAATAAAGAAATCCATAATCTAGAGTGTAAGATTGATTTCAATTAAAATTTAAAAATTGTTTAAAAGAAGAACTCTTTGAAAAAAATAAATAAATAAATAAATAAAACAACATCGCGTATAATATTTTTGTAAATTAAAGAAATTATTTTAAAATGTATAGAAAAAATTAAAATTGAATACACTTTTTAGATTATATAGATATATATATATGTGTGTGTGTGTGTAGAGATGGCAAAAATCCCCAACCCGGTGGGGAACCGTCCTGTCCCCGCCCCATTTAAAGCGGGTTCGGAGAACCGTTTACTTAAATGGAGTCGGGATGGGAGTTAAAAAAAAAAAAACCGGTCGGTTGTGAGGCGGGGGCGGGGGACTAAGATCCCCGCCCCCGCAACCGCCCCGTTTAATATGTTAAATTACTAATTTACCCATCCATGTTCATATATTTACCAAATTAACCTTTATATATATATATATATATATATATAATGGAAACCCTAGACTTCACTTCCATTTTGCTATTGAGGCGGCCGTGTAACTCTAAGCTCTCTCTCAAACCCATCATTGAATATATGGGTTTTGACCTTCTGATTCTTGTAGATTTTGTAGTTTGCAGGAGAGAGATAAAGAGGGCAAGTTCAGAGTTGAGAACAATAATAGAGATGGAGGCGATTGGGGAGGCTGAAATATATAGGTTTTGACCTACTTATTCTTGTAGATTTTGTAGTTTGAGAGAGGGCAAGTTCAGAGTTGAGAACGAGAATAGAGATAGGAGGCAATTGGGGAGGCTGAAAGTTATGGGGATTCTGAAAGTTATGGGGATTAGACGGAAAAAATGAACCGGTTATGGGGCGATTTTGGGGTATCAAAATTAAACGGGGGTGGGGATGGGGAACGAAAAACCCTTCCCAAACCGCTCCATTGCCATCCCTATGCGCGTGTTGTTTTTCACATTTTCTGCTTTTCACCATTTTAAAAATTCATCATCTTTCAAAATTATTTTACCTCAAATTTCTATCTCATTGTTCCATTTTACTTTTAATCTTCGCCTCCACCCACAATTCTTTTAAAATTAAACATTTCAAACCCAATTAGGTAATAGGTTTCAATCAAACCAAATAAAATCAAAGAACAAGAAGTTTCACTAATTCAGTAAATTTGCTCCAACACGGACCACCACAAAAATCAAATGACTTCACCAAATAAAAAAAGTCTAAAAAAAAATACTTGGGAAAATGAAAGCAAGGAGATTTAATTACCTCTCCTAATAGTAATTTCTATTATTGGAATAAATAAAAAAAGAAAAAGAACCATCCTATGAAATAGGAATGTAGTTAGATCTATCCAATCAGAATCAGGCAATGAGTAACAAGACTTGACTTGACAATAATTAATTTATCTCCGAAAAAAACATAAAAAATAAAAAATAAAAACTCTCTCCATACTGTCACTGCCATGGCCAAAAATGAAGTATACTTTCCTGACTACTAAAAGGGTAAGAAATGATCAAATATAATTAAGCAGCAGATTCCTTGGCAATCTTCTCGGCCTTGGCAATAACTTCATCGATGCCCCCAACCATGTAAAACGATTGCTCAGAAAGGTCATCATACTTGCCATCCAAAACGCCCTGTCAGGATACAAGAAAAGCCATCTTATGCATCAGAGATCACACAATATACAAATAAACACAATCCGCTAAAATGGAACTTGACACAAGAAAATACTGCTTATTAGAAGAGGTAGACTTGGCGCAATGGCAAAGTTCAGTTCTAAACCAGCAACAGCATTTTCATGCGGAAGTAAGACTACGTGCATTCGACCCTCTCCAAACCCCGCAGGAGGGAGCCTCATTCTCAGGGCTAAAGCCTGCAATTCTATGGTTCCACTCTAAAATAAAAAGTTTTCCAATAAATCTAGTGTGCGCACGCCATGCTGCAGTTGAATGACTTTGATTTGTTTTCGGGCAAAAATATTAAGATTGATCATAACTAGGAAACCCATTCCATGTCTAGAAAACCGCACAAAACGTCCAGAATGAGAAACCAATAAAAGGAATATTATAGTGGTTTGAAAATCCTAAGGATTGAAGCTCAAGCAATAAAAAGTGAAGTTTGTTGCAACATAACGGCGGAAGGAGGCTAACATGTTGAAGTATTATAAGATGACTCTGAATGTTTGATTACCAAGACAATCTTCAAGACCACCTTTAAGGAGAAGTGTCCAACATAGTGATTTGCTTGTTAAGATTGGCTTTAGATAAAAGTTAAAATATATACAAATAATACAATGAATCTCTCTAAAAGGATAAAAATAACCAAACTCACCTACAACACTGCCAGGACCTCACCAACTCAGTTGACCCCATGTCCCATCAGATTACCCAGATGTCACACCACCACCCCTCTCCAATAACCCTGAGGCCCTCTACGAGGATATACTCCTTTGCCTCTTTTCACTCTCCTTGTTCACTTACAGATCATAATCCCCCCTCTGAGAAAGTTGAATCTAGTTAAAGGTTCTCTTAAAATGAAATTTTACTTGACATCTTTCATTGCAGAAGCACAATAATGCACAACAAAATACAGTATGATATTGTGGACGATAATGATATGATATTTGCACAAGCCCCCAGGTGTGATTATCAGAAAACCATTGCCAATTCGAGCACATGTCTGAGTCACAATCAAAGAAAGCAATGAGTAACATTGCATTAGTGCAAATGGTTATTCCAGGCATCATTAGGCAACAGCATCAACAAGTATCATGCGATCAACTAGCATGCTCTTCAATACAAACATTACAGGACCTATTACGGTGTTCCATACCATGTGGTGCTTTTAAAAATTCAATTCTGTATCTATATACATGTAATTCTTATTAAATTATGGTGGCAGTAATTACTCTTAGGACACAAGAAATGCCAATGACAAAGAAAATGAGCAGTTAAGTGACACTATGAAGTAAATTTCCAACCAGTGAAGGTTTGGTTCTTATGCATGGATAGCAGGCAGGTCTTTGTTACCTGGAAACTTGTGATGCTCTCTTTCAAATCCACATATTTTCCAGGGGCACCAGTGAACACCTCTGCAACATGGAAAGGTTGGCTCAAGAACCGTTGGATTTTACGAGCACGGGCAACAGTGAGTTTGTCATCCTCACTTAGTTCATCCATTCCCAAAATGGCAATAATATCTTGAAGATTCTTGTAATTCTGGAGAACTTTTTGTACACCACGAGCAGTATTGTAATGTTCGTCACCTAAAATATGAGGAGAAAGCATACGGGAGGTGGAATCCAGGGGATCAACAGCAGGATAGATACCAAGCTCAGAAATCTACATTAAATAACAATTCCAAAGTTACCATGGCTGATTTAAGAGAAATTGTGTTATAACTCTCAGTCAAATTTGATTGTCAATAACCTGTCTGGACAACACAGTAGTCGCATCCAGATGGGCAAAAGTGGTTGCAGGGGCTGGATCTGTCAAATCATCAGCAGGCACATAAATGGCTTGGACGGATGTGATGGATCCTTTCTTGGTCGTTGTAATCCGTTCTTGAAGGCCACCAAGATCTGTAGCCAAAGTTGGCTGGTAACCAACAGCAGATGGGATCCGACCTAGTAAAGCAGAAACCTCGGAGTTGGCCTAGAGAACAGCCAAGAAAAGAGGAATAAAGGACAGCCAAGTTAGTAGACTCCAACGTGTATAAGAGCAGATGATCAAGAGATTCTTATCAAGCAGTCTTACTTGAGTGAAGCGGAAGATGTTGTCAATGAACAGGAGCACATCTTGCCCTTCTGCATCTCGGAAGTGCTCAGCTACAGTTAGCCCAGTAAGTCCAACACGAGCACGAGCACCAGGGGGTTCATTCATTTGACCGTAGACAAGAGCACACTTGCTTTCACTCTAGAAAATTTTTACACCATGTTAAAAGAAGAATAAGTTTAAAGAACCACAAAAGCAACCACAAGGGAACAGACTCGTTGCAAATGTCAAAATTGCAATGGAATGACCTGTTTGTCTCCAAGTTTAATAACGCCACTCTCGATCATTTCCCTATACAAATCATTGCCCTCTCGAGTACGTTCACCAACACCAGCAAAGACAGAGAAACCACCTGATTGAAAAGGAAAGAGAGTGAGAAAATAAGCATATAAATTAGGTAGAAGGTTGTCCAGAAAGCAATTGTAAACAAACCATGAGCTTTCGCAACATTGTTAATAAGTTCCATAATAAGCACCGTCTTTCCTACACCAGCACCACCAAACAGCCCAATCTTTCCACCTCTTTGGTATGGAGCAAGTAGATCCACCACCTAGCAAATGGAGACTATATAAAAATTGTAGGGCGCAGAAGATGCAGGCAATAAATAGAATGTGAAGGCTGACACCACACCCATGGGGGACTTATGGTGGACTGGTGGTAACATAAGGCCCGCTTTTACATGTTAAATGTTATGCAGATTAACAAAATATTTACACTTTGTGTTAATCTGTAAAGGACGTGCAATTTCAATAGACTTACATCAAGGATTAGCATTATAAACTAATGGAACACATTCATGACCAGATTTATTCGTACATGTTATTTTATGATTTTTCTGCTAGCTCATCTTTTGACTGCCTAATTGATGAAGCTAGAGAAGGGCTAAGTACTAAATTGACAGTTTGGACAAAAGCTCTAGAATTAAAAGTTATTAAGATAAGTAGGAATAAAACTTAATAAATGAAGTGTAATTGTAGCAAATTTATAAATAAAAAAAGGGATGTCGTGATGATTGAGACTCAAAAGATACCAAAATATGAACATTTCCGTTATTTAAACTTGATTATTCACAATGAAGGAGAATTTGGAATTTGCGTTAATCATAGAATCAAGGATGGTGGATTACATGAAGGAATATGCTCAGAATATTGTGATCGGGTGTATCCCTCTAAAATTGAAAGGGAAGTTCTATAAAATAACTACCATAACAGTCATTTTTGATGGGACAAAATGTATGGGCAACTGAGAAACAACAAATGCACAAAGTAAGCATGGGAAAAATGACATGGATGTGTGAGAAGACAAGAAATCATAGAATTAGAATAAATACGTTCGTGAGATGGTTAAAGTAGCAACCACGTGAGAGAGAGAGAGGGAGAGAGATTCAATTAATAAGATTTGACCCCATGGAGTTGGAGCAATATGATTCATGTAGTCAACCCCAATTTCCCAAATAGTTGGAGAAGGCTTTGTTTGTTATAATTGTTATTAGTGGTGACTGTTTAAATGTACATACTAAAAGATAAGAAAACGAAAAGAGATCTCCCTCCCTTCATGTGACAGAACAAATCACTTATCTCACAAAAATAAGACATAACAAATCCATATAAATGGATCATATATGATGTAAATGTCATTTAAATGCATTTATTGTGCAAACTTTAGAGGGAGATCACCTTGATTCCTGTAACAAGAATCTGTTGTTCAGTTGCCTGCTCAACAAAGGCTGGAGCTTCTCGATGAATGGGGAGAAAGTGATCGGTTTCTTCAAATAGAAATTAATCAAAACAGAAATACAAAAGCATTAGGTTATGTGAAGTTGTGAACATAGGCACACATACACTCGCTACACAACAAAAACAAGTGAATTCTAACTAGGCTTACTTAGTTCACCCTTTTCATCAATAGCTTCTCCAATAACATTCATAATGCGACCAAGTGTAGCTCTGCCAACAGGCACCTGCAAGTGCAACCCCAGGATTGAAAAAATAAATAAATAAATAAATAAAATAAAAAAGAAGATGCAAAACCAAGGTTAATTGAAACGGGAGGAAATTTAAAAAATCTGAATCTTGACTAAATTCAAAGCTTGAACTTAGTCTAACCATGAATCCATGAAAAATGCAGATGGATGGTTTACTAGTCCAATGTATAACATGTTTTATTCTTATTGAGACCAACACAGTAGTGAAATATATATATTTACTTGAAACAAACAATTTCAATGCGAAGGTGAATTTCAACTAAAAACTTATACGATACTTGTTGTCTATGTTAATTGTTTACTTTCCTCCTCCCTCCAGAACTCTCTCTTGGAGACATGAAGTTCAACAAAAACGAAAGCTGATAGATCCTTAAGCCACTTATAAATAATGCCACACAAGCCCATTATTTGAGGGATTTAATAATGATTTCCAGACCTTTAAGGATTCTCGTTTATCATTTATAGCTCCTTGTATCACTCCAGATTTCATCCATTATACATGGGTACTAGGTACTGAAGTAGTATTCCTCCATCAACCAGGTGTTTCTATTATCGTGGATTGACTTAGACGGTCTGCAACATCATTCATGCACATCATGCAGAAATACTATTAACTCCTTTAAACAGAGGAAACACTATTAGCTCCTTCAAACCTATCTTTTTTATCATAATCCTTTTCAAACCTTGGTGATCCTTGATCCTTGCAAAGCAATGAACAAGAACAGCAGGATATCTAAGACCCAAATCACAAATTGAGGAAAAAAGGGTAATACATAATAATTATATTCTTTAAAAGTGAAATTCACTTTTCAAAAATCCAAACTCCACTAAGTACTTCATAACAACTACAAAACAGAGCATGCTTATCAACCACCAAATAATAAAATGCAATAACGAAAGGAGCAGTTATAATCAATTACCCAAGAAGCATAACCCAAACTATTGTTCTTTGACGAAATAACATATTCAAACATATACAGAAGCAATATGTATAGAGAGACTTACCATATATATAGAAGGAGAGAGTATGAAAGAAGAAACGTACAGTGATGGACGAACCAGTATTGAGGACCCTTTGTCCCCTAACAAGCCCCTCCGTCCCGTCCATAGCAATCGTCCTCACCATGTTCTCTCCCAAATGCTGCGCTACCTCAAGAACCACTCGAATAGAATTATCCAAAACCTCAAGCGCCGTCAGGATCGGTGGCAAGCCTTCCTCGAACCGAACATCCACAACCGCACCGATCACCTGACACACCTGGCCGATCGCACCAGCGCCGGTGAACTCATCAGTGATCTTCCCACCGGCCCCCTTCGACGGCGGCGATGACGGAGCCGGAGCAGCCGCGGCAGCGGAGGAGGTGGAGAAGTCCACGACGCGGTTTAAGAGAAAACCGGCCGGCGAAGGACGAGATGATAGAGACGGTGTGTGAGGTCTAGGATTAGTGATCGAGGGTTTTAGAGCAGAGCGACGGGTGGAGGAACGGAGGAGGGAGGATAGGAGCTTGCGAGAAGCCATGGATGAAGATTTGTGTGTGAAATGTGGGTTAGGGTTAGGGTTTGATGAATGTATTTAGCTAATGTAATGGTCAGCTCAGCCAAGTGAAGTAAAATCACATTGGAAATGAAGAGAGAGAGGAGGAGGATGGGCATGGTGATGAAGGTTAGAGCGAGAGACGCTTAGTGTTCAAAAAGAGCGCGTGAAGATTTGTGAGGTGGAATTAGCAAGAGATTTTGGCGTCCAGGTTGTTTGGATCTGAGTGGAAATGTTACACTCACTCTGGTGCTGAACTATGGGGGACGAGTTCAAACAACCTGGACGTGACACCTATCATGGGCACGAAAACTTAGGACGTTGAGTTTTATATATATACACACAAATACACACAGTTACGCACCAGTTACACCAGTTTTTTTATAAATAAAAAAAAAAAAACAAAAAAAAAATTACAACAGTTGAACAATTGTTTGTCCAATAAATTTAATTTGATTATCATAAAACATAAAAAATAAATAAATAAACGTAGTACAATTTTATTCAATATAGCACATTATAATTTTAACACCAATATATTATAAATAAAATGTGAAAAAATAAACCTATGATTAAATATTTTTTTAATTTTTTTATGGACAATGGTGAATGGTGGTATTGGACATTTTAAAGTACTTCATAATTTATTAGCAGACGACACATGCAATCTTACGTACACGGAATAATTATCGAAAAAATTCTCGAAGAGAATTCAAACTCTCACTCTCACCATGTGATTTGACAATTTTTGCCATTAGAATATCTGGTTGGGTTCATGATATCAAGTTTGAAATTAATTCTTTTTCTTCCTTTTTTCTCTTTATTTATTTATTTTATTTTATTTTTACTAAATAATGTATTGCAGATTTGTCAATAATGTCTTAGCCACTGAATGGAATCTTAACCTTTCAATTTTTTTCATTGGCAATAAAAAAAATTGTATTAATCAAACCAACTGATTATCCCAACATAACGTCCAATGGAGATTCTCAAAATCATCATTTTTTTTTGGCAAAAAAATAAAATAAAAAATCATTATTTATAAAATAAAAAATAAAAAATAAAAAAATTGCCAATAATATTAGATACAAAAAGATATGTTGACCTATTAGCATCGCAAGAAATATAACTCCAAGATCAAGATTGAGCACCAATGTAGGAGCTGAAGAAGAGAACACTGGATCAAACCATAAACCGATATGTGATCGATGAATTTGAAACCAAGAGTAATGATACAACTGTCAAAAGTCAAACACATCCGACTGTTTCTATACGAGAGGGAAATGACGTCATATAAATCAGTTCAAAAGTCGGACATATCCGACTGCTTCTACATGAGAGGGGAATGACGTCATATAAAACAGTCCGATACGCTATATCATTTTCCTGGAACTAAAATTTCATATCCTGCTCTGTTTATCATCAACAATCATCCCATAGTCCCCAGAAAATATAGGCTAAGTATCCTCTCTGCAATAGTTTTCAAACTAGAATATAAAATGAAAGGAACACATAGTTTCTTATTGTTTTGAAATGATAGGACTCGAATACACCATTTTATATAGAAACTTAGCAGAGAAATCATATCTGTGTATCATTCCTCAATGAATTTCTGATTCCAGCCAACCAATTGCAGAATAGGCAGTCAAAAAGTTTTAATTCCAAGCTGCAAGCCAATGGCTTCGTAAGCATGATTTAGGACAGATGTTAAGATAAATGCTGCAACACAATCAAATATAGACATACAGATTTTCAAGACGATACACGCATTTAATCATGCCACAGTTAATTTTAACAGCGTAGATGATGGACCAGAACCACAATTTAGGCTATGTTTTTTAGCAGGTGACAGCACCGATTAATTGGACCCATTCTTAGCACTTTCTTCAACCCGAGTGAGTGCATCTATGAGCACATCAATCGTCCAATCCTTCAAATCCTCCTGCAGATTACAAGTAAACAAAAAATTGAGCATAAGTAGTCCCATGTTGATGTCATTATCATCTAACAGAAATGCTTATATCTAGCTGTTTGTTGATGTCGGGCATCAGTATGGACAACATGTCTAATTGAAATGTAAGGTGTTGTCTCCTGGTCAGTGCTGCTAGATTTCTGCTGTGTGTGTACAAACACTCATGAAAGCAAAACCGAAGAAATAGTACCAAACACAAAAACATAGAACTAGGCAGTTGACATTAATTTGTTCTCTATTACTCTCACGTGACAACATGCTTCAAGGCCATTGATCATCATAATAAAACCATTTCAGCTATGGTAGAAAATTAGTCGAGGCCAGTATAAATATGGAATATGATGTTAGGCTGGTGCATAGCTTATTTATAATAACTAAGCCACATCCGATTTAATAATTTCTACAGTAGGCATAATATCATAGTCCGGGTTTATGATCATGATTACTTTGGTTCTGTACCATCATTCAGAATCTTATATGAAGCCCTTAGAGAAAGAAAATAGAAAAACATTACCACTGAATTAAATATATCAATTTTTAACACCATTTATGAGAAATTACCATCATATACAACAGTCCTCGACTTCCAATAGAACGTCTAAGCATGACTTTAAGCCTCTTACTTGCCGCATAAATTCAATTGACCAAAAAGGCGTAATGGAAAAGAAACAGGCCTCACCATGTGCAATGATTCCCCAGTTCTTAGTCGTGCATTTGGACGAGCAAGCTTAGATTCAAATGGAGTTCTTGGCCGAACATCCTTTATTTCCTCCCACTCTTCACGGGTGAGCATCCGGACAGTGCCCTGACCAGCGGGAGCATTCTTTATTTTGCGTTCGATCGTTTCTTGGGATTTTGACTCGTCTAACTGTCAGCATAATAGATCATCAAATTAACTCATATTCGTGTAGATTCAATGCATATAACTAATTGTTTGTGTCAGCCAACAAAAGGTCAACATGAGAGAAGGCAGGTAATTCCAGAAAACACGGGATCAAACCTCTAAATTCCAGATTTTATTTGGAATGCAATTGTAAGATTTTTGAGTTGGTCTAACCCGGTTTTACCAATTTCTTAATGCTATGTTCGGTAGAAAGGAAAGAAGAGGGGTGGAAGGAAAATAGGAAGGAAGGAATAAATTTCCTTCGTTCGGTAGAGATGATATAAGGAAAGAAAGGATAATAGGAAGGATGAGTCATCCTTCTTCCTTCACAAATTTTCATCCGCCAAAATATGGGCGGAAAACGGGAGAGAAGACAAATGAGCCTATTATAGAAGTTTTAAATTACCACATCACCCTTCATAAATATTTAATAAATTCAATAAATAAAGTAGTGATGGGTTTAATGGTGAAAACAACTTAAAATTTTATCTTTCCTTTTATCCTATAGATCAAATTAAATTGTAAGCTTTTTCCATTCTCTTTCATCCAACTGAAAAAAAAATAGGGAAACACTTAATCTCTTCCCTAGGGTTGTCTCAGTCATCCCTTCTTCTCTCCCTTCCATTCAATTTTTTTCCTTCCTACTGAAAGGAGCATAAATGCAAAATTTTCAGGTTAGAAAACTGAAGTAACTATGGCCTGCGGGGAAGTCATCAATGTTAGGCTCCCTGATGCAATTATTGGAATCTCGCCCCCCCCCCCCCCCCCCCCCCCCCCCCCCAAAAACAAAAAAATAAAAAAAAAGGAATTGTTTGCACCTAGCACGAATCGATCCTGAGACCTAATTGGCTGTGCAAAACAAAGTAAAACTAATATGGGAAGGGGCATGTTATTGTCAGAAGCAAGATGAACCCCCAAAAAATTACTTAGAATGCATTTTCACTAATTGATGCACCCAAGCTCATTGTTTACAAAATTGAAATAAAAAATTCTGTGAAGGCCAAGAAAACTACAGCCTGCAGGAATGGAATTCACTAATGTTAGCTTGTTAATGCAACGATATGGTTGCCTTCTGCATGCATGCTATGTGGTCCCTACTTTGCGAAAAACGGAAATAACCATAAAGAGAACAATCAGATGTAGTTGAATTTTAAAACTATAAATTGCATGTTCAATAATGTGAAGTTGTGATCACTGCCAGTTTGGAACCCACAAAGTTCATCCTGACATTATGCAGTTACTCCAAACAATAAAATTTTCGCCGCAATATGAAAATAACAAAAAAGAAAGGATTAAAACAATATATAGAAAATGCTCTTACTGATCATACCATCATCAGAATCTTTGCAAAGAGCACCCCTCCAACAACAGTGAGAATCATAGGCGTAGTTGCAGTGTCAAGGAATGCTTTTGATTCTGGAACTTCTACAAAAAATTGCTTAGGCTTCCACCTTTTCCTGATTTTCTCCAATTCAGCAACCCTCCTCTTCAAGGTCTCGCTAGGACCATTACGAGATAATGTATGCAATTGTCTACGAAATTGAGAAGATATCTGCCCAACTCCATGCATGGTTACCAAGGATGTGGCTTAATCATCTCATCATACTGATAGCACAACAAATATCAGATAAATTTCTATGAACTGGAGATTCCATGAAACTGACTAATTGGCTGTGCAAACTAAAGCAAAATTAAAATGAGAAGATTGTCAGAGGATGAACCCTCCGACAAAGAAACAAAAAAGCACTCAGAATGCAAATTCACTAGTTGATGCAGCCGGGGTTATCTTTTACCAAATTGAAATGAAGAATTCTGCGAAGTTCCAGAAAACTATAAAACTACAACATGCAGGAATGGAATTCAATAATATTGGCTTATTAATGCAACTATATGGTCACAAAGTAGGGACAAGAAAGTCTAAGTTCCAATTTTTTAGATAAGCGATCAAACAAACCCAAAATATTCAAGGTGATTGAGGCAGCCATGCAAAATGTAAATACTTGAAAAATGCCCCTTGGAAAATTTAAATTTCTCCTGCTACAAGGAAGGGGGAAAAAAAACAACATTCAGGAAAGTTTATTTGCTAGTGTGATCTATAACATAGCTATAAGAATGTATCAATCAACTCCAACAAAATGCTAACTCCACCATAGTAATAGCTGGGATCTTGGTAAATGTGACATATTTTTAAATACAGCACTTTTAAGCACACAACAGCAATACAAATGTATAATAAAGGAGAATAATTAGTCGATGTCAAAGGGTGTTCAAAACAACAGTATCCCGAAATGAGAGACCAATTGTCAAAATTCAATTGCCAAACTCCAAGAATTCATAACACTATTCCAGCAGAGAAATTAAACCACAAATCAATCTCCTAAGATGAAATTAATGAACATATCTAAAATGACAAAACACTCAAACCACCTTTCCAAAGTTCAGATATAAATCCTCATAATCTTCCCAATTAATATTGGTTAAAACATGGGAAGCACGGACACAGACTCGGGTACGACATGACACGGACACGGCACAACAAAACAAACCTCAAAAAAGATAAGACACGGCTAGGATACAACAATAAAATAGCATATTATTATATATTCAACAAGTTAAGCGAAATCCATAATACCATAAATAAAGCCAAAAAATGACTCCATTAGTCAAATATGTATATATATTATCGAACAAGGTTGCTTACTTATCAAAAAAATTATCGAACAAGGTTGCTTGGTCCGTTAATATGACAGCAATTTGAAATTCCTAAGGAAGTCTTCCTTATAGCATAGATAGCCATTGCAACATATGCAAATGTATAAATACGAAAACTTCTCCTTGATACTCAGCAATTTGCATTTAAACTAATGAACCTAGATGTAGAAATGTCATCATAATCATCATCATCCTCGCCTTTATCCCATATGAATGGGTTCGACCACATGAATTCTCTTTTTCCAATCTTTTCTACTATATACCATCTCCTCCAATGTTTAATTTTTTAAGATCATTTTTAATTACTTCATGTGAGTTTTGGTCGACCTTTTTACCTAGATGTACAAACGTAGCAAAAACAAATCAATTAACATCATAGACCATGGTCCTCATCCACATAGGCATATACAATATATATGTATTATGTTCAAGATTGCCGAATGGACACAACATACTTGGAAAAGAATTGTAGCAGTACGTGAAAATGATTTCATAGCTAGTGGCTCTATAGCTTGTACCCATACCCATGTTCAAGATTGCCGACACCTACAAGATTGAGTTTTCTGGTTTAGGGATTTTTGCACTAGGCAGCAAAATCTTAGTGATATGTTGGATTTGGTGGTGGTACAAAATGGGTGGTGGCTGTGGGTGGTTGTGGGTGAGGATGGCCATGAAGTGAGGCAAGGCAAGAGATGGTTGAAGGAGAGGAGAGAGGAAGTGAGTCAAAAACGAACCTGGAGGAGCCGCCGATAGAGACCAACTGCCTGAGGAGAGCAATCGCCGGTGGGCTAGGGCTAGGGCCAGTCACACGACTTGTACATCCATTGGAGAGCAGTGTGCGTTTTACTAGTTCCATTACCCTACTCTACTAAGTAATGCCCTTTGAAATTTGAATAAATTATTAGCCTATCACCATTTTTTTTAAAAAAATAGAGTAAAAATAAAATATGTGTTAGTTTTAATCAAATATGCGCAAGTTTTATGCAATTTTTTTTTTTTGTTGCGAAAATTAAAGTTGTGATTGCCTGGATCAATGATCCGGGTCTACATAATAATTTCTTCTAAAATAGTGTTCTCTTTGAAATTTTATTATGTCCGGAACTATTATTTGGGCTAATCACCACTTACACACATAAAAATTGAATAAAGTTTACACATTTGTTTAGTATCAAATGATGATTAATTCCGAACAATTTCTCATTCTCTTTTTTTTTTTTTTTTTTTTTTTTTTTGTCCAGTTTTAGATTTTTTAGTTTATAATGTTTTTTAACACATTAATTTTAAAATTTCAATTTTAATCCTTTTTTCACAATAAAATTTTAAAATATACAAGACCATGTCTGAAAAAAAAAAAAAGTTAGAACACTAACACCAAGTGTTGTACAGTGTATCCTGTGTAAAATGAAAAAAACCAAAAAACAGATGCAACATAGAATGAAATGGCACATAAGACAATTTGTATTCGTGCGTTAAAGTATGTAACGCTAATGAGAAATCAAATAAAATTCGTTAGATAATTGGACTATAACTAAAGCTTGGTGATACTTGCTTGCATTTCAAAGTAAAATGCGAAACTTCAAATCCTCGTATGCATAAGTGGGAGTATTAGTGCGTATCTTGCCAAAGTAAAAAATAAAAATTAAATTTTTTTTTTTTGTTATATAATATTCCTAGTTCACTAATCTACTAATTTTACTTTTTTAGTTATCATATAGAATTTGAATTTGAATTTATTTGATATTAGTACCTAAACTATATAACTAGTTTGCCTATCAGGAATTCTCAGGGCCGGCCCTGAGATTCCAAATATTTTGAGAGGTCCTAGACGAACTTTCAAATGTGAGGCCCTTAAGTTTCACACGCGCAAAAAAAAAAAAAAAAAAATATTATAAGAGTGCGAAATTTTCACACGATGTTTTCAAATTCTATAGCTAATATAATTGTGCGGCTGTGCATTGTGCATAAGACTACTAACTAATAACTATAAATTTATCATCACCAACAAATAATTGTACAGTGTGCATAAGACAAATAACTATATATTTTTATCACCACCAACAAATAATTGCACACCTGTGCAATTTGCATAAGACAACTAACTAATAACCACCAATAAATAATTGTGCGCCTGTGCAGTGTGCATAAGACAGATAACTAATAACAATAAATCTATCAATTAAAGAGTGCGAAATTTCACAGGCACAAAAAATTTATAAGAATGTAGAATTTTCATTAATATGAGATGATAAGAACATAAAATATATTAATGTTGAAAACACACAAAAGAAAACCCGGTCTTGGTGCTTTAAAAAGAGCACGAACCAGTTTATATTTAAAAAATAAAAGGAAATATTCAACACAACTTACTCACAAAAATTAAAATTCAACTTTATATCAAAGTAAATGCTCACGAGATCCTAAGAAGAGTGTCTTGCTAGCATGTGAAAGAAGATCACAATTAACATAAAACGGATTGAGAATCAAATGGAAACAATAATAACTAAGCATTGCCGATCATACAATAACTATAATATTAAAAAAAAATCTAAAATCAAGCAGTTTGGTCGAATGGTCTCCTGGCTGGAGTTTTCACTGGAGCTTTGTGTTTGTGTGTGTGTTTTTTTTTTTGGGAGCCAATTACCCCTTTCTTGATTTCAGGGTGAGGAATCAACTTTAGTAGCAGTGATTGATTGATCATTGCTACAGAAGACCTGTGCAAATTAATAGAAAAAACCATTGACTTTTGTTTTGTTAAAGCTTGCTCTTGATTTCCATGCGTTTGTACATCCTGATGGCAAGTGCTTTGAGCCTTTGACAGTATTATTAACTGAAATTCTAGCTGAGCCAACTTCAAATAACATCAATGATGGTGGTATGTATCTTCATATAAAAAAATTTAAAAAAAAAAAAAACCCTTAATTTGGCACTTTTAAGTATGAGCATAATTTAGAGATCGAAAAGTTAATTATTACCTCAGGTCCTCAACCCACTAGAAGGGATCCTTAATTTTCGTAGGATTGAATGTGAAAATGCAAAAAAATTATGAGGAAAAGGGGTATGGTTGCTGCTGTTGTGAGATTGGAGTGGACTTAGGGAGAGGAAAAAAAAAAAAAAAGATCGATTCATGCAAAAGGAGAGAGAAGAGAGAGAGGATGAACATACCTTGTCACGGTGTTACCTGAGCCTGAGGAGATAGCGGAGGCTGCGTCCTGCGGAGTGTCGAAGCAGATTGTGTCGTCTGAAAAACTTGCCCTAACTTAATTTTTTTTTTTTTACCATCCCCAATGGGCCTCAAATTTCGAGGCCCTCTAGTGCCCAATGCATACTCATATATTTTAAATCAGTATTTATAGATTTTTTTATGCTTATAAAAAAGTATTTATAGATTTTTTATGATATATATTAGTCCTCATATATATATATATATATATTACGGAGTCCAAATCTACATTTGTAAAATATATTTTTTTTAAATATATAATTTTATTTTTATTTTATTAATATTCAATAAAAGTTTACATCGGGACTTTAAGGTCGAATTCATCTGACTAACATACAAAATAATTGGTCGAATTAATCCACAAATTACTTTTATTAAATTTTAATATTTTTTTTGGTAAATATTTTATTATAATTAAATATTAAAAAATAAAAAATATATATTTTTAAAAAACCTTATAGACAATATATAGGTATTTTTTTAATTAAAAAATAAAAAAAATTACTAAAATCACTAACATAGCTAACTCCACCAATAGCGGCTGTTTGGCGCCACTGGTAGAGTACTAACCGCTCTCTTCTATCCAAGTTTCTTCATGTAACTGCTTGGCCATGGCCGCCTCCGAAACCCTAACCCTAGACTCATCGACCCTCTTCCTCAACTCTCACAACTCTCTCTCTCTCCGATCTCCACCAACCCCTCCAGCCCTCTCTGCCTCTCTCCCATCCAACCACTCTCCTCTCTCTCCATTCCCCAAACATTTCCCCAAATCCAAAGTCATCCCAAATACACGTTTCGTCGTCGACGGCTTCCGATACGCCGGCGACCACTCCGTCTCCTATTTTCTCTCTCACTTTCACTCCGATCACTACACCGGCCTCACCCCAAATTGGTCCAAAGGCATCATCTTTTGCTCCAACGTCACCGCTCGCCTTCTTGTCGAAGTACTCAAAGTCTCATCGCTGTTCGTCGTCCCATTGTCTCTATCCGAGCCCGTTTCGATTGATGGGTGTGAGGTAACACTCGTTGATGCAAATCACTGTCCGGGTGCAGTTCAATTTTTGTTCAAAGTTCCCGGCATTGACGGAAAATGCGAGAGGTATGTGCACACTGGTGATTTTAGATACTGTAATTCGATGAAATTAGAGCCAACTTTGAGTGAATTTTTTGGTAGTGATGCTATTTTTTTGGATACTACATATTGTAATCCGAAATTCGTGTTTCCTTCGCAAGAAGAGTCTATTGGTTATATAGTTAGCGTGATAGAGAGGATTGCAGTTGAAAATGTGGGTTCATTGAAGTCTGTTTTGTTTCTTGTTGCTACTTATGTTATTGGGAAAGAGAGAATTTTGCTTGAAATTGCACGTAAATGTAAGCGGAGGATACATGTAGATGCTAGAAAAATGGCCATTTTGCGCATTTTGGGGGTTGGAGAAGATGGGGTGTTTACAGAGGAAGAATCTGAAAGTGATGTTCATGTTGTTGGGTGGAATGTGTTGGGTGAGACTTGGCCTTACTTCCGACCCAATTTTGTAAAAATGAAGGAGATTATGGATGAGAGAGGATACTCTAAGGTTGTGGGCTTTGTTCCGACTGGATGGACATATGAAGTAAAGCGCAACAAGTTTGCAGTTAGGACTAAGGATTCATTTGAGATACATCTTGTTCCCTATAGTGAACATTCGAACTATGATGAGCTTAGAGAATATGTGAAGTTCTTGAAACCAAAGCGTGTTATTCCCACGGTAGGTGTGGATGTTGAGAAACTTGACAGCAAACATGTGAATGCGATGCAGAAGCATTTTGCTGGGTTGGTTGATGAAATGGCCATAAAGCAAGAATTTTTGATGGGTTTTCATTTTGGGTCCCGGGAAACGCTTGAAAATGTTGAAGAGGATTTTGACACAGTCCCAAACCAGACAGTAGACCACGAGATTGAGACCGCTTCACCAGAGCTTAAAAGTAGTTATAGTATTGATCAGGGAAGAGGTACACACTCTTCATTTCCTCGGGAAGAACCTGTTTCAAAAGATTTGGTTCGATTGAATGATAATGATATAGAGGAAATTTTGCAAGAACTTCGTGATTGTTTACCCAAATGGGTCACTCAAGACCAGATGTTAGAATTGCTTAGTAGCTCGGGTAGAAATATTGTTGAAGCAGTTTCCAACTTTTATGAACGTGAAACTGAATTTTATGAACAGGCTATTGCTTGTACATCCCAGACAAGCTTATCTAATGATTCTGCACCACTTTCTAAACCATATTCTGTGAAGAGCCCTCCCAGAAGTGTGAATGTTTTTTTAAATCAAACCTACAAGTCACCTGACACGAGGCATTCAATTAAGAGCAGCATTTCCCCTAACAAAAAGAGGAGAAATCTTGATGATAAGCCGAACAAGAAAGCAAGAACCAGTTCAAGTCTGGAATCTAGTGGGCCAAAGCAATGTAGAATAACAAGGTTCTTCAATAAACTGGCTCCTAATGTCTCTCAAGGTAGTGGGAATGAAACTGTGTTTGAGCAATGCCATAATGATGAAAATCTGTCACCAAGTGGTTCTACTAAGTCATACAAAGAAGAGGTAGACCAGTTCATTCAGATTGTAAATGGCAGTGAATCATTAAGAAGCTATGCTGCTACCATCCTAGAGGAGACAAAGGGAGATATTAATATTGCATTGGACATATATTATAGTAATCCTCAACCTAACCTCGATGAAAATAAAGAGAGGCTAAAAAGTAGCAAATTGTTTCAAGCTCAATGCAGTATTCAGGATTGCTCTCTTAGTGAAGAGAATAAACTACTAGAGGAATCGGGTAATATCGAAATGCCTGGGCTGCCAACAAAAAAGGTTGCTGCAAATCTTGTATCATTAACACCTGGAAAATATTCTCCTATAGAGCATGGTCGGTCCCATTGATTTAGAAGTTTATTTGTTTAACATAATATCTTATTCTCCAACTAGAAAGCTAGCATGATATTGTGATTTATATGCAGCATGCTGGAAGGATGGAGAGCCTGCTCCATATATACATCTTGCACGAACTTTTGACCTTGTTGAGGATGAAAAAGGCAAGATAAAAGCTACATCAATACTTTGCAATATGTTTAGAAGGTTGGTTGCAGAGAGCTGCATCTTGTGTTTCTGCACTTACCTGCAATGAAATATATGCATCTATAAAAGGGAAATGGTGTCAGCCATTATGTTTCTGGGGTATGAATTTACTTGCTGTGTTTCTTGTCACGCAGCTTGCTGGCCTTATCTCCTGAGGATGTGCTACCCGCGGTGTACTTGTGCACGAACAAGATTGCTCCTGACCATGAAAATATGGTTTGTAGATTTCTATATCTGGGATGTTTGTTTCTGTTACTTCATTCCTTGAATCCTTTCATTGTGGTATAAAGGTATTATACAAGGTTTTTGACAGTCTACCTAATTTTTAAAGAGTTTTCAGAGCATGTTTCCTTTTCTGGTATCTTTCCTTCTTAACTTGCATTTGTCTTTTCTTGCCTCAGTTGTTACTTTTCTTCCTGAATTATGCTCCAACAGTAGTGTTGTTTTCCGCAACTATTGAAATTCAGATTTTGCCTATATCAGTCCTCTCATACTCTCTCTCGCTCTTCTATCTCTCTGGGCACAAATTTCTCTAAGCAAAAATTGTTAGAAGTACTCCTTTGTCTTCCAACTAGAACTTCAAACCCTTTCGGAGGAGAGTCATATTCAATTTGGTTCATGTGCATCAAATTGCAACTCCAAGCCCTATATATATATATATATAGATATATATATAGATATATATTCTAAAGGTATATTTCAATTTGAATTTTTAGAACATAGTTGTTCAGATTTTAAACCAATCTTCTTCTTCTTTCTTAGTGTATTTTACTTTCTTTTCTTTCTTTTTTTCTTTTTTTTTTTTGGTTCATTTCACCATTTTTTGAATTCATTACTTAGTGTGTTCATTCAATGAAATGAGTAACTTGTTTCAGATTTTTACACGTATGATTATACGTATTGTGCTATATGTAACATGTGAACACATAAGTTTTTATGTAGTGTTGTCTCCAAGTTCAAACAATATACATTTTTAAAATATTTTTACATTATTTAATATCAAAAACTAATTATAGTACTAATCATAGTAAAGACGCGTTGGTTGGATACCATTTGGCAATAGTTTCCAATACAACGATTGGCCACCATCTTGTTTAAATTAAATCTTTGAAGGCTACAACTAGCGGTACCAGGCTCCTACTTCCCAAAGGGAGGTCAGGGGTTCGAGCCTCGGTAGAGGCACGTGTGTGTGAGTACCAATTAAGAACAAAAAAAAAAAAAAAAAAAGGAAAAAGAAAAAAAATTAAACAACTCTTCTCTCCCCCCATAACTTCTTGTGTGTCCAGGTATCTATGATCCATCTCTATGTATACTACCATATCAAATTATTGAATGATTCTAGAGTTACTTTTACATATAACTTTTGTTCACTATAATCTTACATGAATGAATTTCTTTGCAACTCTATTACTATCTTGCCAGAATATATTTTCGTGCATGAGTTAACATAGCCAAGTCATTGTTTCATTCATTCTGGCAAAATTGACAAACACTGCCAATTGTAGATTTGACGGGTGTACAATATAGATGAACAAATTAAGAGTTCCACTGACAATTAGTTGAAGTTATTCCAATAATCAAAATAAATTCTTTTGTTGGAGTCATTTGATTATTTATGTATTATTTCTGTGCAATGATCATTATCCATATTTTAATTAAGAATTACTGTTGAAATCAAACTATATCAGCTTAATTGATTTATCATCATTAGTCCTCTTAGGCAAACTTCACTACTTACTGAGAATATAAATATGAATAGAATTTTCATTCTTTATATACATCTTTTGGTTGAACTAACCATGTCTATGGTTCATATAAATGCATTAGTTGTTTCGTTGCACTTGCAACCATAATTGAAGCAGAGAAATCTTTGTTTGGAAAAGAACTCGTGATTCTGAGTAGAAAATGAGTAACTTGTATGACTTTCAATATCTTTTAAAAATATATGCATATATTTATATAGATATATTCATTTGAAAATTGATGTGTATGGTTGTTAGAAAGATTTTTAATGATTTTTATAGCAATTTATACGCCTTTTCAATTTTTAATCTTTTTAAAATTAGGCTGATAGTTACTTAATATACAACTTTTACCTTTTTGGATCTCTTCCTAATTAACTGTGAATCAATCGCATCTCTTGGTGTTATTGACTACCAATTGCAATTCAGTTTTTAACCAACAGTTACAAATTACAGTCGTTGGCCAGTCCTTTTAAACAGTATTGAGTCCTTTTAAACACTTTTCAAGGCTTTTTCGTAATTCGTATTAATTAACCATCACGTCTCATTGTACTAACAGTTTTAACAGATTTTATCATTCAACAAACACAACATTCTTCAACTCTTACTCAGCCTTACAGGTGACCTTTTAAACAGTCGTGACTTTTCAAGTCTTTTTGTCTCTTTGCACCTAAGAAGCGCGGACACGGATACGGGACACGGATACGACACGACACGGACACGGCGACACGGCAAATCCAAAAAAATTAGGACACGGACACGGACACGGCGAATACTATATATATATATATATATATATATATATATATATATATATATATCTCAGCATTAATAATTTTAAAAAAAAACACTGATATGTTTAGGTTGGAATATATATATATATATATATCACTGATATGTTAGTATATATATATATCAGCATCTTTAGGACACGGACACGGCGAATTGTGGCATCTTTAGGTTGGTATATATATATATCAGCATCTTTAGGGTAGTACAAAACAAAAAATAGAACATATCAGCATTAAAAAATTTTAAAAATAATAATAATAATAATAACATATCAGCATTAAAAATTTTAAAAAAAAAAAAAAAAAATTCCAGAAAAGTGTGTCCAAGCCGTGTCCGAGCTGTCTGAGCCGTGTCCGTGCCTTGTCCGAAAATTAAAAAAAATAAAAAAAAATTCCAGACATGTTTTTTGGCGTGTCCGACACGTGTCAGGGCGTGTCCGACGCGTGTCCGTGTCCGACACGTGTCGGACATGGATTCTTCACCCATTTTGGAGTGTCCGTGCTTCCTAGCTTTGCACTAATAGTTCTTTATAGATTTTATAATTCAATAACTCAACGTTTTCTTTTTCTTTTTTTTTTGACAAGTGACTCGACGTTTTCTTAACTCAAGAAGCAAGAAGATCGATCATTTTTAAAAAAATAATAATAATTTTCATTCTCAGCCTACAGTGTGTTGACATGGCAATCAGATAAATCTGAATTTCAAAGTTCATAAGTGAGCAATTGTTAATTTTATTTAATTTTCAACAATTTCAAGAAGCAGTACTCCATCTAACAGACACTGAAACCTCGGTAATTATATATACTTTATTTATTTATTAAAGATTTTTTTTAGTAACATGCAAATGCACGTTCTTTTTTAGCTAGTATACACACACACACACACACACTCACACACACAGATGCATCCTTTTCAAATGGACTGAAAAATTGAAATATATATATATATATATATATATATATATATATATATATATATTATATTTAACATGATTTTTTTTCAAAAAGGAATTTCTCCCTGCAAGGGGCTCAGAAAATTGTATCATCATATGATCGTTAGTTGTACCTCCACCGCACTTCAATCCGACTACAAGATTTTTTCGCCAGAACTATCTCTTAGGCCTATGTTGTGGGGTGAAGGATGATCATCCATTAATTAATTTTTTCTGTGCAATTTGCATATGCATCTGAAAACACACTGTAATTGTGTTTTAACAATGGTTCAGGAGCTGAATATTGGTGGAAGTATTGTCACAGCAGCATTGGAAGAGGCTTGCGGGACAAACAGATCTAAAATAAGGGACCTATACAACAGCTTAGGTGATCTTGGTAGGAATAAATGATTTTATTTTAGCATCGAATCTGTGTACAATTTTTTTTTATCCACAAATGTTTGCTCCTTTATCAAACTAAATAGCTTATGCTGCTTAAAGGTGATGTTGCTGAACTATGCCGACGAACACAATCATTACTGGCTCCTCCATCACCACTCTCAATCCGGGGTGTATTTTCTGTCCTCAGAAAAATAAGGTATAAATTCTAACAATTTTGTTATTGGCATTTGGAAGAAGTTTGAACCTCATAGATTTATCTATGTCATGACTATCTTATAATTTTTGTCCCATCTCTAAGACGACTTGTCATAGGAAAAAATGATAGGCAATGAATTGACGACCCATGATCACTGATGAATATTATTCCCAAGTTTTTGTTGCTGGATGCTTGGGCATACATGCAAAGGTTACTGTACTTAAAATGAGTTATCTAATGGTTTCTTCATTCAAAATGTTTTTGCAAAATTTTGGAGAGAGCCATAAACGATTAATTCCTTAAAGCTATCTTATGTGGATTGACTTACCATTTTGTCATGAGTTGGTGAAATGGTCTTTGGACATAACTAAATTTTTTACCTGTAAGATACTCAACTTTATGATGTGACCTTCCTTTAGTTTCAGCGCTGCAAATACTATTTGAACACATGTTGTAGTCATTATTTTAATGTTCATCTAGGAGTTCAGTTTGCTTTTCTGTGATGCTGGTACTGCTCATTTTGCGACTATAAGAATATGAAAGCATGTGACTAATCCAAATTCAAACTATACAAATTTATTTCCAAACTAGAGAATTGGAAGTACAGTTCTTTCTGGATTTGTACTTTGTTGTCATAATAAATTCGCCTTACCTGTTGGTCCTCTATTCAGAAAAGGATCATTACAGGCTGATTCTCTCTGCCTACCAGGTTTCAACTCGAAAAATAGAGGAGATCTATATGATTGTGGTTGTATTTTTGGTATCCCACTGGCAACTATATGGTCTGTTCTCCACTTTTCTGGCTCAATGATGTGAAATTTCAATAACAGTAAGCTTACACTGAGGATGTAGAATACTTCTTTTTCTTTTTTTTCATCGGATATGTATGAACTTGATAGTCAAGACGATGTCCATGTTAAATGTGTTCTTTGTAGTCTGTAGATGAGTAGATGGCATAGTTTAGTTGATGAAACTAATTTAGGGTTGATACTAACTTCCAAGCTAGGACCATGGAGATGATCTTAAGAAAGCTGAGAAGAATATTAACCATCTTCACCTTCACTTTGAGGTGGGCCATGAGTTGTGGTGCTTGCTTTCTTGCTAATATATATATATATATATATATATAGGCTCATGGCTAGGTAGTGAACCATCTTTTAAGCTGCAGGGCTTGGGTTTGTAGTGGGAAGAAATATCGTCATGTTCACAGGCTGTGCCTTTATGTCTTATGGGAGGGTGTGACGGGAACATAACAAGTGCTTTTGAGGATGTTAAACTTCCTGTGCATTAAATGAAAGAAAGCAATGTAGGATATGGTCTATTTTTTTTTATATTTCGGACTATTTCCAGTATCGTCTCACTCTTGATCTTTTAGAGACTTGAGTTTTGTATGCAGGGTCTAGTTTATGGCTTCTGTATACTCCACAATCCACATGTGCATAGGTTGCAATTCTACTGGAGCTTTTGTTTGTAAGAAAATACTAAGAAAAAGGAAAGAAATTAAAATAAAATAAATTCTGGACCAGTTTCTACATTAGTCGCTTAACATGAAGAGATGAAGATTACAACATGTTTCTGAGGATGTAAGTTTGTATTTCATGAAATGCTGAATAAAGACAGCTTTTCTGATGCATCTTAGGGAATTGTTTAGAGATTGGCTCATCATTGAATATTGAGTATCTGATTTTTGCTTGCAAATTTTTCTTCTTAAAATAGCTCATTTTTGAAAATTTTGTTGTGAAATAAATTGTGTTATTTTCTTTCCTAAACATTAGTATAGTATTGCTTTCGTCATAAGGTCATCTCTTAAAACATCAATTGTGTTATAAGAATGATATTCTGTTATGTAACTTAATATATTCATTCTCATTACTATTTCGTCAGTGTGCAAACAGGTAGCGGAAGTACTGTTCGAAAGAAAAGCCTAATTGTGAATCTCATGCGTTCTTGTAGAGAAAAGGAGATGAAGTTTCTCGTCCGAACATTGGTAAGTTCTTGCTTGAATCATTTGTTCTTGCTATGGTCTTGTATAGACTATAGAGTTCAGATCCATTGAAAATCCTTTTACCTTGAATGAACAACTTCACAAAACGGTAAGTGGTTTTATATTTGTTATTGGTGCAGCCGTGCAAATGGATTGTTAAGACAAAAACTTGGGAAGATGCATGTTGGCTCTTGTTCTGATTGTTGGTACTAAGTTGCGGCATAAAATATAGCATCACTATTTAGTGCCATTTTGGGACATCCTTACAGAACTTGTGATATGAGGTTTATCAAGAGTGGGGGATATTTGAGGAAAAGGAGAGGTGAGTTAGAAGAACTTCCACTGTACATAAATTTAAACCCAAAATTGATGAGTTAGACTTGTGATCGTTTGCATGGTATCCGGTCCATTTGTATTAGTTCATGATGCAAACACTGTTAGGGTTCTTGGAAAATAAGAGGAAAGAGAACTGTAAGTAATAGGAAAAGAAGGAGACTATAAATGGAGAGAAAATAGACATGAGAAATAGAAACACTTTTCGAAAAAAAGTATATTTGAAATTAACCATTAGTTATTTAATTTAAGGAGACTTCTTAATAGATGTAGTTGAAAAAAAACCAATAACCATTAATTTTTTAATTAAAAAAGATCTCATTCCCTCCCTACCAATCCTCGAACTCCTGACCGGCTAAGGGTTGACCACACACGCCAAATCCTAAGCTAAAGGGGCCAGAAGAGGACCAGCAATTAAATAGACTTCTCTATGTCATTAGAAAAAAATGTATACATAGAATGAGAGGAGTAGTTTGAGATGGACACTCTTGGTAGAGGATTTTTTATGTTTAGGAAGAAATAAGGACTAGTTATTTAACATTCTGCAGATCAATTTGATGAATGAGGAATGGTCAAAACATGATTTTTGAATATTTGGTTCTCTTCTGATCATACAAATTCTACTTCATTCTTCGAAATTAATGATATTTAGAGATCTCTTTTATATATAGGTTAGGAATTTGCGGATTGGAGCCATGATGAGAACTGTTCTGCCAGCATTAGCCCAAGCTGTTGTTTTGCATTCCTCCCTTCATAAAGGAGAAGCCGAAAATTCAAAGGAACAGTTGCAGGTTTGTTTTATCTGGGTTTTTGAGTGAATCCAATCACCTTATGTCATCTGCTTCAGCGTCTGTATTTTTATTTTTTTATTTTTTGGCTCTTTGGATTGGTTGATACAGTGGGTTAATTTCCAACTAGAATTCAATCGTTGAATTCTGTTTATTGACATTAAATATATAATCATTTTGGTATAATTTTTTTCTAGAGGAATGCTAAGGGCAGGCTAGTGCAACTGACCTTAGACACTCGCTGCTGTGATTGGTTGAAAAAACAATCATAGCAGCTATATTTAATACACTGCCCTTATCTTTATGGAGCACTAAAAATCTAATTTTGTAAGACAATATTACCCTCCTTTTTTATTGGCTTCAACTCTCTATCCTTTGGCTTTAATACACTGCTCTGTGATTGTTTATTTTTTTACTTTTATGAACCTTTTCATGTATTTGTGTGACCATACTTTTTTGCAGAGTCTATTGCTTGTTATCAAAATCTATTTGCTAATCCAGCCTTTCTATTTTGTTAGTGCTTATCTGCAGCAGCCATTGAAGCATATAACATACTTCCCAATTTGGTAAGCTTGATTCCAGATTCTTTTGCCTTTTTTTTTTTCTAATTCTTTGGGGGAATTTATGATTCATATTTCAGAAGGTATGTGGGCGGCATTGAATGTGCCTTTGATTTTTAAGAAAATAAAATATGTTTTATCCTTGAAAATTATTGGTTGAAGGATGAAAAATGGTAGTAAACAGTTTGTTTAGTTGTTGATGCCTATATATGACAAACAAAACCATGATTATTGTGACTTTTTACTGGGAGGAAAGAAAGGTGGATCTCTATTTTTGTGTATCCAGCCTGTTTGGATTTGTTAGGTTCCCTGATGTTTAAGTATGGAATTTACAGCTTCTATTTCCAGAATATATTAAGTTGCTGTCCAGTTTGGTTCTAGTTTTTCAATGAAAAATCTAACAATAATGCTCTTTATGTCATGCTTAAAATAGGATAATGTTTGTATACGAGGATACTTCTTCAATGTAGAACCAGCCCATTTTGACATTAAGCTTATGAGGTAGAACAACGTATAACTTGCCAATTGTGATGTTGTCCAACCTAGGGATACTAGGACGTGGGTCAGGGGAACTATTGGGCTAGTCCCACGCAGAGGTGTGGGTCCCCCCTTAGGGTGCAAGGGTCTGGTCAAGGGAGGATGTCACAGACACTTAGATGTGTTTTGTCCCACATCGGGTGTATACTGGGAGATCTTGGGTGACTAAAAATTTTTGGTGTAGAATCGGCCTTGTGACATTAACCCCAAGATCACCTAATTTGTTTTTGTTTTGGTTTTTGTTTTTTTATTTTATTTTTATAAGTTACCCACACCTTCAAGTGGAAAATGAGATACAGTGCCCCCAACCCACATTATAGCATTGTGTGCCTCAGGTTGGCTCTGATACCACTGTCACATTGGGTCATTTCTACATCTAAAAGGACCAGTCACTTTTGGAGTTTCCTGCATTCATTTATTATCCCCAAATCACCCAGTAGGCCAGTACACACCCGATGTGGGATAAAACACATCTATGTTTGCGACATTAAGCTAATAAGGAATGCGACTAACAATATCTATTGAGGTCTTGCACCATCCTTTTTATTATTTCCTTCTTTGATGATTAATTAACTTGCATTGTCGAATGACTGTTTCTTGTGGGAAAATAAATTTTGGAATGTCATTGCATACATTTGTTCATTTGTTATGTCTCATGCTTAACTTGCATAGTATCTTACAGATATATGGCTAGGAGTGGCATTCTGTCTTTAACTACAAATACCAGAGCTTGATATGAAATATGGAAAATTGTAGGATGGCTCCAGCATTTTTGTTTATAGTACATATTCAATAACTTCTAATACAGTCACATGCCCTTATGAATGCCTTATGATCATATGAAATGGAATTTGAATCCTCTCTAAGGAGCTTCGTGCAGAATTGTGCCTAGGAAACATTCAGTGAGTAGACTAATATTTTCCTTGTTTAGGTAAACAACTTTTGGGTGATCAAGTGCCTGGAAGCCTCAAAATGGACCAACATCACATACTATTTTAACATTCAAGTGATGACATTATTGTGGCAATACACTTTTGACGATGAGAAAAGGACATGTTTCTTTTTGTATTGAGACCTTAAATAATGTGCTTGTGGTGATCTTGGAAACAATACAGATTATGATTCTATCTAGTTTGTGTTTGTTTTCTTTTTATTTATTTTCTCTCCCTCTCGTGTGGCTGAGTTGTTTGATGAGTTATGGTGTAGTTTTGCTGTAATGATACTGAATACTGACTATGCCGCATGCTATTTTACCTTTTTGCAACAGGAATTGCTTGTTCCCTCTCTCATGGAAAAGGGGATTGCATTTTCTTCAACAACGCTGTCGATGGTTCCGGGAATACCTATCAAACCTATGCTAGCGAAGTAAATATGCATATGATTGGCTGCTGCTTAATTTTCATTGTTTATAACTATTATTTTCTTTCCTCAATATTATTGGTGGGGATAGCTTATTGTCATGTTATTTGATTCCTGTGGTAGAATTACTAATGGAATTCCTCAAGTACTGAAGCTCTTTCTCAATAAAGCTTTTACATGTGAATATAAGTAAGTCTTTTTTCATTAATTGTTTTTCTATCTTTTTATTGATTTATTTTCGGCTGTACATTTTTAGCTGGCTCTTCCTATGCTTCCCATGTATTTTCTTGGACTTCATTTAATAAGTGCACAATTCATATAGGAATGTGAGTTTTTTTCTCCAGTCATCCTATGAGAATGAATTTTTCAAGAATTCTGAAGGAATTGTTTGAATTAATAAGTTGTGCTTATAGCCTCATATTTTCATGGGAAAGTCCAATATTTTCTCTCCCTAAGAACGAAAGACTTTTCACAGAATATAAAAGTGATACATCCATCTGTTTTATGCAAACTCAATTTTGGGGGGGAAAAAAATCAAAGACTAAAGAGAATTTTCAGAGGAAGATTATTAGTTACTATTTACTAGATGTTAGAATTACTGGTGATGTAGGACAGCACTAGAAAAATTAAAATCACGTTCCTATGGTTAGGTGTGTGGTGATAAAGAAAGATTTTGAAGTTTGTAGATTATGGTTCTAAAAGAGAAAAGAATGGCTATAGGCTTTTTGAACTAAATGGGTTAATTTTGGTTGGCTTTTAAGGTGATTAGCTGCCGGATATTCATGAGATTAGTTTCAGGAAATTATTGACAGCAAGCGATAATGGCAAATATAATCTAGGAGGAGGAGGAGAAGAATCTTCTAGGGATCTCACCTAGCATCCCTTAGTTTTCGACTCCTAAGCTTAGGGCTGCATTAATGACTGAATAACATCTTGACACCCAAAAATAAAACAATCTGACCACCATTATGACCCATTTTTCAGAAACTATAGAAGTTAATTGCTTTTAGATATGTTTGGTAAACCAAAAATAAAAATAAATAGAAAACACTTAAACTTTTGATATTACGTTTATGAGTAGAAGTTCTATATTTAATAATTGTTACTTATTAGACTTTTGAAATTGCATTTATGAGTAGAAGTTCTATACTGTGATAACTGTTATTTTATTCCTTTTTGTTTTTTATGAAGACAAATTTTATCTCATAGTGCTTCAAAAACTGTTGTTACCAACCAAAATAAAAAGTACTTTAATTATGAAAAATACTTTGTATAATGCATCACCAAACATCTAACATACTTTTTTACTGACAGAATTATGACAGTTCTATAAAACCACTTTTTTCTGTTTCAACAGCAACGCCAAATGGCCTTAAGAATCAGATTACGGTTCATTCTAAACCTTGACACAAAATTCAACACCTCCTGACCTGACCCTACACATCTACTCAATTTTTGAGTACTATAAATAAAACTCACACTTCTAGCTAGAAAATAAATCGTTTAGTAAAAAATATGGTATTCAGTCGTGTCCCAATGTCCTTGGACATTAGGATTTGATAAATCCGACAATTAGGCACATATCCAGACCTGACACACCTACTTAATTCCATGTAACAGAAATCATAATAGCTCAGCCTGTTAAGCTTGAAAAGTGCTGGCTAAAGTCTGAGGGCGGCCAACTTCATGCAAAGAGATAGGATGTTACCCATTTGACACCTCTCAGCATTTCAGTTTGGCAGGGCTAATGAATAAGGATTAGGGGCAGCATTTCTATTATACTATTAAGTGGATGGTGCATTCTCTCTCTTATACATGATTAGTACTTCACATGGATCCTTAGCTTGTGCGTGGATGTCTTTGGTTTCAGATACGATGGTCAGCGAGCCCAAATTCACAGATTACCTGATGGATCCATGCGTGTATTTTCACGAAATGGGGATGAAACAACATCTAGATTTCCAGATTTGGTGAATATAATTGAAGGATCATGTAGTCCTGCTGCAGTAACCTTCATTTTGGATGCAGAGGTATTTACTCTTACTAGGAAATGCCATTGGAAATCTTGGAGATTGATTGAATTTGCTGATTTTATGATCAGCGCGGTGTGAAAACATTAGTCTGAGTTGAAAGATTTGCTATCCATTTGTATGCTGATGGTGCGCTAAAACATAGAGAGGAATTTCCCTGTTTCAGGTAGTTGCAGTTGATAGGAAGAATGACTGCAAGCTTATGTCCTTCCAAGAATTATCTTCCCGAGAGAGAGGGAGCAAAGTTTCTTTGATTTCAGTGGAAAGTATAAAGGTATGCTACTTCAATGGTTTTTCTGTCTCACATAGTTGAGTGTTTCATTGCAAAAATATAAGTAAAAGAAGTTGATGTCTAAAATGGTTAAATCATTGGTCCAATTTTTATGAACATAATATCTTAGATTTTTATTTTTTAGTTTAGGATTTTACAAATAATTAGTAAAAATTGTATGTTGAATGCACGAGTACATATATAAAATATACAAATCAATATGATATATTATTTATATAGCTTTATATTAGATAAAGTGTTACTTACTAATAGAGTTTGATCTCAATTATGAAAAACTTGCAAGGTCTTAGTTATGAGTTACTCTTTGTTCATGACTTGTTACCAGTGCCAAGCACCAGAATGAAATAACAGTGTGATTTTATCTTGTAAAAGTTTAGAGCCTTTTAGGACTTCCCCTCTTTTTACCTCATTTAATGACATTAGAGCTTCCTCCATAATGATTATTATCCTATGGATGCTTCACCTATTGATTAAATGAGCACCCAGTTACACTTAAGTGGTGCCTCTTCTCTAATTGATTTTTACGGATCCCTCCTGAATCCAGTTTACTGAATGCCTAAGGAACATCAATTGAAGTTTCACATAGTTTGAGGAGGAAGTAATTTTACTCTGGGGATGAAGGGAGGGTGTGGAAAAAGCAACCGGTCTTTTATAACCAGTTTTTATGGATGATGTAGAAGACGACGACGACGACGAAGACGACAACAACAACAACAACATCAAATAAAAATAAAAATGTCAAGAGTTGGAAAAAGTTCTATTATATTTAATTCTTTCATGATGACTTGCATTAGATGAAACCTATTCTAGTGACACATACAATTTCCATAATTAAGCTCCTATATGGTCTGCAATAGTATTGAAGAAGGAAACATTTTAGAAGGAGCTCAAAATTTACCAGCCAATGGCTCACATGATTTGCTGGCCTAATAATTTGAGATGCTTGCATGTAGGAGAGCTTGAATATCTATACCTATCGCCTATTTCCTATGATTCTTTAAGAATTTAAATTTAGGAGACACTTTAGATTAGCATTTAACTTGGAGATAGGGGAAAACCTGAGTGAATGGTAACTGAGTAGCACAAATGACCTTGATGAACGAATTGTATGAGAAATTGCTATAAGGCTAAAAAAATCAGTAGTTTAGATTCTTTAGGGATTTTTATATGTTTTAAAGTTTGATTTGTTTTCTAGTCTTGTTGTTAGGCTAGGTCAATGCATTTGAAAACTATTCCAAGAAGTTGAATTTAACCTAAATTAAGGCAGATGCTTCCTAGGCAAATCAATTTGCAATTGGGGACAATTTCACCGATCAAGATAGTAACCTAGTTGTAGCTTCCATGAATATGCTACAATTGCTGATTTTGGCTCCTTAGAAGGTCTCCTAAGACTTATTTTTTTAGTTTTTCATCATTGCGTTGTGGCAGATGATTCTGTGCTAGCATTAATCATCATTGCCTTCATTTGGTTCTCATCTGATGCCTGTTACTCCTTTCCAGTTATATTACCTTTTCTTTCTTTTCTTTTTTTCTTTTTTTCTTTTCTTTTTTCTTTTTTCCCGCATTGTTATACGTCTTCTCTAGTTGTTTAAATTTCTGGATTAGTTTCTGATATTTTTTCCCCATGCAGGTTGACATTTGCATCTTTGTCTTTGATATCATGTTTGCTAATGGAGAGCAGTAAGTATCATGAAGCTTTTCTTTATATATATATGGTGTACAGTTTGTCATCTTGTAAATGGTGTACAATTTTGAGTTCGAGCTTTATTGATGACTATCTGGTATTATTCACGGGGAAGTAGATCCTTGAAACACTTCAACAGACAGTTTTGCCAGCATTAAGATGTACTTGCTCCATAAGCAATGGAATTTTAGCCCACGACAAACTCACTAGATAAGCCACCAAGATAGTTTGCAATTTAGAATTTCTTTTCTTTTTTGTTTGTGTGGTTATCTTTCTCACTGCGCATCTGGAACTTCTGTTAGGAGGTCGCAATTGTTTTAACTTCTGTTTCATCTGTGCATGCATCTATGACTGAGCACCGTGGACACTTGTCTAAAGGAGCTTTAACCTTGTTATACATGTTGGATATGACGAGATGCTTGTGACGGGGACACACAGAAATTTGAGATATTTCTGTTTTAGGCATGTGCTGACATATAGTTTAGACATGCGAAGGATGCAAGTGAACATGAAAATGTCTTAATTTTAAATTTAGAAAAATAGTATAGTTAAGACAGGGATATCAAAGACGTGTGTATAAAAATAATTTATATATGTTTTCAGGAAAAAAAAAAAAAGAAAAAGAAAGGGAGAGTGATTAGTGTGATCTCAGCCTTATCAGCCTACCCTTTGGCATATTCAATTAACAGGGCCACACTTGGAGATGGTCTTTTCCTTTTTTTAGTTGTGAACTTAAATAGGGCATTTGCAGCTTGTATGTTCTTCTAACTTGTTTTTTGCATAATTATGCTCTTAGTTGGACTGCAATGGGGTTGAATATTATTGGTGTAGTCTCATGATTGACTATATATTTAATGAGCCTGGGATGCTTTCAGTAAAAGTTGTACATAATTTCTCAGCTTACAATTAGTTTAATAACCACACCTTTTTTATTTATTTATTTATTCTGTTTATACCATTTCGATCTTATTAGCTCAGGTGCAAACTATAAAGTGTCTTGTGTGTTACCTTTTTTCTTTCTTTCTTTCTTTTTTTTGTTTTTTAAATTTTCTTTGTCTTTCTATGTTAAAATTTTCAAATGCACATCCTTTTTCATGTGATATTAGCACTCAATAAATTGAGAAACAGTCTGGAAAAGTTCACAAACACAATAAATTCTGATACAGGCTGTTGGGCTTTCCTCTCCGCCAACGACGGAAATGTATGCATATTCATGCCCTCTAATATTAAAAATTATTTAATGTACTGGGAATTATAGATTTCAAAACCAGGAAGTATTGTTTTTTTCTGAACATAAATTTCCTCCATTTTCCCCAAAAATCTCAGATTTGAAGGATTTGTTCGGTGATGGGAAGTTGGGTCATGTTGAATATGCAAAGGAAATAACAGTAAGTGCTCTGCACATATACTCACTTGAGGATCCTTGTGTTAGTCGTGTCATCAATCTGTCCTGCTTTTTAGGTGGAAGCAGATGATGCTGGTGGGAGCAATGAAGCAACATTGACTAAGATGAACTGTTTTCTTGATGATGCATTGCGTTCCTCGTGTGAAGGGATAATGGTTAAATCTCTTGATGTTGATGCTGGATATTCTCCATCAAAGCGTTCTGATACGTGGTTAAAGGTTTCTTTTCTTTTTTTCTTTTTTTTCCCTTTCATAAGCATTAAAGGTTTCTTGTATTGATTGAAAATTATTCATTTTGCAATTACTATAAGAAATTAAAATCGAAAAAACAAATTCAAACCTGTGATAAGTAGTGATGTTTCCTTTGCAGGTCAAGCGAGATTATGTGGAAGGGCTAAATGATTCACTTGATTTAGTACCTATCGGTGCTTGGCATGGGAATGGGAGAAAAGCAGGATGGTAAAACAAAATTTTCCTCCAACTCTTTACTTCTTCTTGGGGATTACCGGTTTTAATGAAAACATTGTACCTGAAAGCATAACAAAAGTAGGATTGCTCCATTTTCTTCAACGTGTTGTTTGAAGCCATAATATGCAGTTTGGAGACTGGTCATAAACATGATAGTGAAATCAAAACAATTCTCTAATCTTCAATAATAAAATGATTTTCAATCGGAATTACTTAAATGCCAAAAAAAATAATCGTTTCATTATAAATGTCTTTGACAAAATGTTAATAATGCAATTCTCACAAGCTTTTTTCTGTTTGAATTCTGGACATGTTGGAAACATTGCTGTTGGCAGTTATGTGTGTGATGTTTTTCGTGGTTCAGGTACAGTCCTTTCCTCATGGCATGCTACAACCCTGATACGGAGGAATTTCAGAGTGTTTGTCGTGTCATGTCTGGGTTTTCAGATTCTTTTTACACACAGGTAAAACAGCTTTTAACTATTTGCAAGCTGCAAGGAGTGGTAAAAATACCCACTTTTTTTTTTTTTTTTCTTCAGTGACATGATTGTTTGCTTTTGTTAAGCTCAACTAGCTTTTAGTTTGATAGGTACATCATGTGATATTAACTAAATCTGAGAGGTAGCCTATTGAATATTTTGAAAGCGTAACATCATCAAAATCTTGGAATCAAATATCCCTACATGGGTGCTGGAAGCGCCTTCCCGCAGTTTTTCAGGACAAATCTGAGATGGACATGTAGATACAGGTTTAGTGTTTGGGTTTTCTAGTTCAGGTTCATGAAACCTACTAAACAAACATTGAAATCATTTAAAAAAAATTATTTCTTAGACTATGGAAGTGACATAAGTTGATTGAGTTTGATTTTTTGCTTCCCTATTTCAAGACTTGGCTTATTAATCAGAAGGTTTGAACATTGATGCATATGCCTGTGAACATCATTTTATTAACAGAATAACTAAGTTCTTAAATCCAACTTTGCAGATGAAAGAATTATTCTCTGGGGACAAGATCTTGTCAAAGAAGCCACCATATTATCAAACAGCTGAGGTGCCTGATATGTGGTTCTCTCCCGAACTTGTCTGGGTAATAAGGGGTGCAGACTTCACAATATCACCAGTTCACCAAGCTGCCATTGGCTTAGTTCATCCATCCCGTGGCATCTCAGTCAGATTTCCTAGATTTATTCGCTCCGTGTCAGATAGAAAACCAGAGGAGTGCAGTACAGCTACAGATATAGCTGAAATGTTTCATTCTCAGACTCGTAAGATGGATGTGAGCGCTGGACATTAGTATTGATTTTGTGACTTGTACATAAAATTGTGTGTTTTAGGTGAAGATAAATGTACAGTCTCTGTTTCAAAAGCACTTGAGTGCGTCCTTTCACTGCTTCTCGTGTATCCGTAAAAATGCATATACAAGTTTCTGGTTTTGATCAAGTTACATATGTTTGCAGTTGACCATGTGGCTCTGGTCAAACCAATTATTTGGAGAAAATCTACAATATCCCGGGGTACGTTGATACGAGGTACCCTCCGAATGAATGCTCTTTACAATATTGTTACCACGCGCCAAACATAATTATAAAAATTAAGCTTATTAGAATCGAGATTTTACGTAGGATTGATAAAGTTCCAACTTCAAAATTAGGGTTCCAACTTCAACCTACTGAATTATAAAAATTAAGGTTCCAAGTTCAAAAATTGATTGTTGCCTGTATGTATATGTAAAGAGAGAACATATGTAATGTTCTATATAACTATTACCGAAATCAATTTATATAAAGTATTTTGTTAATGTTGATTCTGTATTTTTTTTATTAATAATAATGTTACAACAAATATACTTGTATTAATTTCCATGTTTGATAGTTCGTTTGTGACATGACAATAATCCAAATTGGTTAATTGGTTATGATAACTAAGCATTCAAGTGTAATATTGTTTTTCTTTTAACTTTTTTAATTTATATGCTGGATACTCTTACTCTTTAAGATGAGGGATTTTGTCTAGTTGATTTATTAAATACTAGAAGGGAAATTAAAAATCATGAAACTATTGTGACTCGAACCCAGGATTCTCTAATGAGAACCCGACCAAACCAAATCATATTATTCAATAAATTAGCTACAGCTGATTTGTATTGTAGCTGATTTGTATTATAAAATATTTGAAATATATCTGGTAGTTATTTTTCTTATAGTCGGCTAAATTATTGTTGAATATGACATAATTATTTTTTATTTTCATTGTATAATTCTGATATATCAATGAACATAACTTCAAATCTAGTTTTATCTATTAATCCAAATTTTATAGGGTAAGTTATCTAAAATCATTCAAATACTGTTATGGTTAATTATACTCTAAAAGTTTATTAATAAATTATTTTCATTAAATAAATAAATAAATAAACACAAAGATAATACCTTATTAGCGCTTGAACTAGAAAATTGTCATTCCACGGTTTTTATCCTCTACTTTTTAAACACCTGCATCCCGCTATTACGACCACCACTATATCATACCTCACAATACTCATCTTTATTCTTTAAATGTCTGCAATTCACACTCATCACCGTTCAAGTCCTCTATTGTTTAAACGCTTGCAAACCGCTTTAAAATTGGTGACGTGCAACCCGCCATGGAAAATATAGCACATGAGAATCGCACTCAACCTGCACAACTATGTACGCCTTTAACTCAGCGGTGAAAATTGTCCATAATGCTCAGCAGTGAACACGTGCAAACTGTTTAGTTATGTGTAGTTTAAAATTTTAATTCACCAGTGACATGCAACCCGCCTTGGAAAATGTATCACGTGAGAATCTCACGCAACCTGCACAACTATGTACGCCTTTAACTCAGTAGTGAAAATTGTCCACAGTGCTCAGCAGTGAACACGTGTAAACTGTCTAGTTATGTATAGTTTAAAATTTTAATTCACGGGTGATGTGCAACGCGTCTTGGAAAATGTAGCACATGATAATCAAACGCAACCTGCACAACTATATACACCTTCAGTAGTGAAAATTATCCATAGTGCTCAGTAATAAACACGTGTAAACTATCTAGTTATGTGTAATTTAAAATTTTAATTCACGGATACTAATGTACTATTGTTATTGTTACGCATTGTGAAGCACGGATACCGACACGAGACACGGGTACGACATGACACGGATACGGCGATACGACAAATATTTAAAAAATAGGACACCGACACGGTTAGGATATGGCAATAAAATAATAATATAATTTTAATATATAAAAATTAATTAATTTTTACTTAATTTTTTATATTAATAAATATAATACATTTAAAATAGGTTCCATAAAGATCTAATAAAAACAAATATATATAAGACCATCTCCAATGCAATGCTATATGGGCTGCCATTTTTAAAATATAGCAAGTGGGCTTAAAATGGGCTCTCCAATGAGCTGCCAATTTTTAACTTTGTCAAAACTAATGCCAATTGTAGCACAAGAAATAGCAATTGCTATTTTTCTAGGGCTACAGAAATAGAAGAGACCTGCTCCTATTTCACTACTATTTCTCTAGGGCAACAGAGAGAGAAGAGAACGGCGGCAACAGAAAGGGAAGAGACTGGCGACCAGTGACAGAAAGAGAAGACAAGGGGCGTCCTGTATTTTCTCTTCCCCTATATGTGTGTGTAGAGAGAGATGTGGAACTTAATCTGATTTTTGTGTGCGACAAAAAGAGAAGAAAAGGGGCGTCCTGTATATGTGTGTCATACCAAACTTGCTCTCTTTCAAATACTCTTTCTTTTTATATGGGAGTGATTCTGTGTTACTCATTTACTCAATTAATGCTTACATATATGGAAAAATTGATTCATTAATATTATTATTTTTTAAAATGATCGCAATATACGTGAAGGAAAATTTGGGGGAATTGTCTTTGAATTTGCTTGATATACAATAAGAATTTTTTAGTTAGATTGTTGATGAGAATATAAATTTAGGATATTCAATTATTATTACAGACTCATATGCTATCAATATCATCACAAAGTAAAGTATTAGGAAGATGTTAAGCTTTTATGCTAGGAACAAGTTCTTTTTGTTTGCTTTTCTTCTTCCCTTTTTAATTTGTCCTCTGTGCATTAATGTTTACTGTTTGTCCTCATTTTCTGCTTGCGTCTTGTAGATGACATTCGAGGATGTCTTCCCTATCGAGGCAGCAAGCGTTGAAGAATATCTGTAGCAGGTAACTTTCAATAATTTAGATGTTTGGGGACAATATAATATTAGTTGATGTTTTATCTCTTGTTATCTTACACCTATTTTTAGGGGGCTGAAATTTTGAGCATATTGTTTTCATCGCACTTACTTAAATTAAATATTAAATCATATTGGATAAAATGAGAGTTGTGTCAAAAAAATACATTTTGAATAAAATGCACCACTGGAGCATAATTGCTAAAAAATAGCATTTTGACACTGTAGCACCTCTCAGAATATAGCTTTGGTATGCAAAAGTAGCTTTTTGCATTGGAGATGCCCTAATATATGGCATTATAACAACTCTTTATATCCAAAAATGGTAACAAAATCCTTACTAATATATATATATATATATATATATATATATATATATATATGTATATAATATAGTAACTCTTTGTATCTAACAATAGAATAGCATAATCCTTGTAGCCAAACATATAGAGATAAGATAGCTTATCTGATATCCCCCTACTTTTCTCCACATCACCATCAATTCGTTCAGATTCACGTCTTTGTTTCTCTCTCTCTCTCTCTTCCGACCGATTCTCTATTCTCCTCCATCTTCATTTTTCAGATCTTTATGAATGAATATATACATATGATTTGGATATATGTATATATATGTAGACCTATAAATTAAATTAGTTATATATATATATATATATATATATATATATATATATATGATACCCAGGTCAATGATCGATCTTCTCCAAAGTCGTTTGGCTTCTCTTTATTTATTTATTTATTTATTTCTCCCTGGCTGCCTCTTTATTTTCTTCCTTTCTATTTAAAAAAGAAAGAAAAGTTTTTGGCGTGTCTTCAAGCGTGTTCGATCGGTGTCTGGCGACTTTTCCAGCATGTCCCAATCGGTGTCCGGCCGTGTCCGATTAATTAAAAAATACAGGACACGATTTGGTAGTGTCGGACACGTGTCCGACATTGGTATGCCGCCTATGATAGCCGTGTCGGTGCTTCATATGTTACGCATAAGTTTACTCAGTAAGGAAGATTAATGTATTCAAGTCAGCTACCTTTGAATGTGAAACTGACAAAGCTGAGAGTGGTCAAAATTAGCACAGCCAAAGGAGTAGTCAACATTCAGAGAGTGATCAACACAGCCATAGTTAACATTCACATAGTGATGAGGGTCAAATTAGTAATTTGGAGAAAAATGACAGCACTGTGGGTATTCCGCTGTTGGAGAAGGCCGAGGTAAATTCTCCCTCACACACATATTTCTATGTACTAGCATAATGCACGTGTGATGCACGTAATGAAATAACTATTTTAAATTTTATATATATATATATATATATATATATATATTTGTACTTAAAACTAGTGTATTTCTTTATATTTAAAACTTGAATGCAATTGTGTGATGCACGTGATGAAATAAACATTATTTAGGCAATTATTATTATTATTATTATTATTGTATGAAAGGAATAACACAAATGATTGATGGAGGCAAAAAAAAAAAACATTGTTTTTAAATACACTAATTTGGCTATTTGTGTGAACGAGTTCAGACCATCTCCAATGCAAAATGCTATTTTTATATGCCAAAGTTATATTTTGAGAGGTGTTACAGTGTCAAAATGCTATATTTTAGAAATTATGCTCCAATGGTGCGTTTCATCCAAAATGCTATTTTTTGACACAACCACCATTTTTGTTTTTTTTCAACTACCATTCTCAACTCAACCACAACAATGCCAAATTCATTTTCAGAAAATAAAGTCCCATAAAAAATTAGAAACTAAAACCATATATATATATCTTCACATATTCACAACCCCCTCAAAATTTTGAACATAAACCATATATATAAAGAACCTCATCAGAAATTTAACACACAAAAATTGCAAACCACAAATATATCAAACCAGTCACATCCCCATCGAAATTTCTCAAAAGATCACCCACACATGTATATACTGTCACACCCTTTCAAAAATTTGAACACAGAATATATATATATATATATGGAAGCACAGTCCTAGTCTCATCAAAAAAATTCAAAATCCAAGCCACATATATCAACAATCATAGACACATCTTATCAAAATTTTGAAACACGGAACTTATACATGTCAACACAGGCTTCATAGTCACTGGTGTTTCAAAAATTTCCCAAAATATCAAGATTGTCCTCATCAAAAAAATGTATATTTCAAAAC